ACTGGGCAGAGCAGTGGGCAGTTCTGTGGCTCCAGAGTTAGGATTTGAACTGGTAGGGAATTAAGCCCACTTACCAGAATTTGGAATAGGAACAGGAACACTCCATTCTCCTCACTGTAAGGTGTCTTTGAGGCTGTTCTTCATATACAATGTCCAGCTACAGCATCTGTAAATAGGCATTTTTCATATTAGACATGTTTCCAAATTTTTCAAGTTTTGATCTTGTTAAATTGTCCTTCCTTTTGGTCTTGAGCATCTTACTTTCCTAAATACTTTTGGTTCTCCTGTCCCACCATACTAAAAATAGTGTTTTTCTCAGTTGCTGCAAATTGGCAAGCTTTTCCATATGAGGCAAGACAAAACTCTACAAAATCATTCTTTTTCATAGATTTGAATCAACCAAAAATTGCCAATCAATGACTTGTTTCAATAAAACTAATCAGAGCAAAAGTTAATTTTATTTTATTAGCTAATCTGATGTTAATTATTTGTGGTCTAAAATCATTAATTTGCAGCTCTCTGCTTTCAACCATTAACAGTGTTTCTTAGAGTTTCAGTGCCCAATTATAGCTTGTTCAGTGTTTGTTTAACACAATAGTGACACCCACTGGCTTATTGGATACTTTTTCTTTCCGTGATTTCACAGACTTAAAACACAAAACAAAGTACGCAGTGAAAAATGTTTTCAGCACTTCACTGTGACTTGTTGTGCTTCTGTGATGTGTCACTGAATATTAAGCTGCATCATCAGGTACTATGTTCCTGTAGCATATTGGATCATTGAAAAATATGATAAAAGAGCATAGAATTTTCCAGTAGTTTGCAGCATGATCCAGATGCTGAGAAAAGTCAGGCACTAAGAGTTACTACTGCATTTAATCGGCTGAAAATCTGACTATAAAAAAGTTATCTAATACTGAAAAGTCATTACACGATCTGCTGTTTCTGAACAAACTGAGAATAAAGTACATGTCATATACTAGTCTGACCTTCACTCCCTGTTTAACCCACAGTCACAGAAAAATTTGCTCTATTAAGGAAAAGAGAGTGGATTTTATGCTGAGTTGTGTGCTTTCTCAGATTTATCTCACCTTGATAAAGTTAATATTTAGAAGGTTTATTTTTGAGCCTTGCCTTACAGTGAAAATAGCTTTGGTCTCAGTCCTACACAGTTACCGTGGAGGAGTGGAAACTTCCCAGAATGGACACCCCTACAGGCCCTGGAAGCTGTGGCTCTGCTGTGTAATAGCCCTGCTCTTCCAAAAGGGGAGAGGACATGGATAGAGGTTAGAGCAGCAGCAGATGCTCGCACCTCACTAAGCATATTACAAAAGAAAACATCTGTCTGTGAATGCCTTTGTGTGCACTCCTCTCTTGCCCCCAAAATGCTCTGCTTTCCTCCCTTTCTCTGTCCTGCTCCTGGTAAAATGAGAAAGTCTGGTTACAAGCCAGTCTAGAGCAGAATGAAAAATGGCACTATATTATTTGCCTACAATCTGATTCTGTGGAGTTGCTGGGCATTTTCATTTTTGTTCATGTAAACAGAAGGTAAATGCATTTCACATATCACTGGTACATCCACATAGCCTGTAATAGAGGGTTCTGTCCTAATTGAAGGCAATAACTGTATTTTTGACTTTATCAAGAATGAGAAGCAAGACAGAATTCACTCTAGTAGCATGAACCAGTTTTTTTGATTTTCAATTAAGACTCCTTTAAAACATTGTGCTTTCAGACAATTAGGTGCTCAGGGCACTCTCAAAATCAGATGCTCTTTGGTGTCTCAGGCAACCAAAATAAGTAATTCCAAATAACCTTGACCATTGCCTTTTCCAAACAGTATTAAATGCTTTGCTGCATGATTCTGAAGTATTTGCAGTCTTTGTCTTAGGAAGCATACTTACTTAAAAAAAATAGTCTTGTTTTGTCAAAAGTCAGTTTCTTACTGCAGGTCAAGCCCAGGATATGCTAAAATAACAGACCGTAGTCTTGGCATGGGTAGTTCCTGACCTAGACAATTAACAAGGCATTGAAATCCTAAAGGAATTTATTGGCATCAGATGGCAGAGCAGGCATAATATTCTGTTCATTTTAACTGAGCTAATTTGTCATTTCCACATGAGCATGACTACCTTCATCCTCTTTATTTGTACAGCTGTCCTGAGACTGTAATGCTGTGGTAGTCACATTGGATGGGCACAAATAATAGATGTGATAATAGATGTTATGACATGGTATCAGTTTGGTCTTAACAAAGCTCCCAGTCATTATTGGTCTTTGAGCTGAAAGAAAGAGAGACAATCCACCAGCTTCGCATGGCATGCTAAAGTTGTATCAGCTGTCAAACCTATTGTGAATTCTGGATTTGGTGACTCTGTTTCATGACTTCACTAGCTCCTACTGAAGACATAAACCTAGGAGTCAATTAAATTCACAGAGTAGCAACTAACGAAGACATTTTATCAGCCTAAAGGACTGCATGTCCTGGAAGTGTTTATTGGTTAATTACGATGGATAATTACCATAGAATTCATACAGTATCTCAGCTTTTTTCTGAGTACTATCAAAATCATGTTTCTTCAACTGTCCGAAGGATATAACGGGATTTGAAAATTTTCTCTTTCAACCCTTGAATGCAGAGCATATACACTATGAATTAAAAATAGTAAAGTTTCTGCAGAAACTTGTTGCCAACAAAATGCATTTTAATGACAAAGGCATTAGAGCATTAGTGAGAAATAACTTACA